TAACAAAATAAAATTATTATTAATTACTTTAATCAATCATGAAGTCAAGAATTTATATATATCAATTAAAATTTAAATTTAATGATTTAATAATAAATTTAATTTAGGGGCTTAATAATGTAGTTTTGCTTTGCTTTAATGTTACTCGTACAAGTAAATGCTCTCCAGCTGGATGGCATGGGAATCTACTTTTTTTAACATTTCTTTACCGGTACTCGTGGCCCCAGACGACTGGCCTGGAAAGCATCATCAAGTTCAAGACGCGTTTTTTCACTTTTCTTCTTTTTTCTTCGTCATTTTCTTCTCTTTTCTGTTTTTTTTTTTTTGGTACATTTTTCTTCTCTTTCCTTATTGAACCATTGCATTTACTAATAAGTTGCTTTCCTGGAAAGCAGCATCAGACACCAAGCATCATCGAGTCGTGTTTCTTTTGCATTGATGTTCCAAATGATAAAATAATCGGTTTTCCTGTCTTATCTCCTTAGGATACGGTGTATATAAAAATTTATATATATATCAATTAAAATTTAATGACTTAATAATAAATTTAGAATTAGTTTAGGGACTTAATAATGTAGTTTTGCCTTACTTTAATGTTACTCGCACAAGTTAATGCGCTCCAGCTGGATGGCATGGAATCGACCTTTTTTAACATTTCTTGGTTGGTACTAGTGGCTCGAGACGACTGGCCTGGAATGCATCATCAGGTTCAAGACGCGTTTTTTAACTTTTCTTCTTTTTTCTCTTTTTTTTCTTTTTTGGTACATTTTTCTTCTCTTTTCTGATTGACCCTTTGCATTTACTAATAAGTTGCTTTCCTGGAAAGCAGCATCAGACACCAAGCATCATCGAGTCCTGTTTCTTTTGCATTGATGTTCCAAATGATAAAATAATCGGTTTTCCTGTCTTATCTCCTTAGGATACGGTGTATATAAAAATTTATAAATATTGATTTTAATTTAATTAATTAATTAAAATTATTAATATATCAATAATAGTAACATAAATATTAATTTTTATAATTTTTTTATCTAAATTTATTATAAATTTCACTTAACATGTATGCTTTGAGTATAGGGTAAACAAACGGCTGGAGAATGAATTTTATTAAAAATGGATTTATTGATAAAGTTGTTAGAAAAATATTATACTAAAAATTGATAAGCTTTGTAATCAAATTTTGTTAAATTGTGCACTTGGTTCTAGTAGTATGATGGCTTTAAGCATTTTAAAGGGCTGGGATCCAACTCCCACCTCCTCATTTGTACTTCGCTCAAAAAAAATAAAAAATTTTGTTAAATTGTTAATTTTTATATATTTGGCAAAAAAATACTATAAAAAAA